TGCCTCTGGTCCTTCTTGCCTCTGGTCCTTCATGCCTCTGGTCCTTCATGCCTCTGGTCCTTCTTGCCTCTGGTCCTTGATGCCTCTGGTCCTTCATGCCTCTGGTCCTTCATGCCTCTGGTCCTTCATTGCCTCTGGTCCTTCATGGCCTCTACATCGCCTCTGAACCGATGCATCGCCCCTGAACCGATGCATCGCCCCTGAACCAATGCATCGCCCCTGAACCGATGTATCGCCCCTGAACCAATGCATCACCTCTGGTCCAATGCTTCGCCTCTGGTCCATTTTCTTCCCCTCTGGTCCATTTTCTTCGCCTCTGGTCCATTTTCATCGCCTCGGGTCTTCTTCCAAACTTAGTTGTTTCAGCAACATTTTCAGATTTTCCATCCTTGGCCGTGATGGTTTTGGCAAAACTTTCAGAATAATTAGGATCAATTTTTGGTCCTAATAATCAGTAAATTATATTTTATTGGAGATTTATAAGATTCGTAAATTGGGGTTTGCTCAATCGAGATGTTACAAGGACCAGGCCTCCAGGATTGCCTTGACGATAGGCATTTCTGCGATTCAGCGTCGCAATATAAATTATGCTGCGGTCATTTTCGATGACCTGGTGCTAAAGCTGAACAAGCGCCAGCGAGAAAAGGTGGTGCCTTACACCAGGTTCCTCTCTATGGTAATGACTAAAATCTTCAAAAGTCTTTACCCTACAGAAGGTAACCTTCCAGCATGCCGGCTTGGCTCCCGGATTCTGGAACACAAGCTGAGGGACAGTGATGTGGCACTCTCTTCCATTGTGTCCATCACTACCTCTTTCTCTCAGGAGGCAAGGACAAGGGTAAACCCCCCCCCTCCCCGCGTCTAACCCAGCCATCACAACCTCTTCTAAACGCCCTTCGCAACCCACTCTTGGTTCTCCTCAGAAGGCCAAGAAAGCCAAAAAGGGGACAACCACGTCACTAGCTGAAGACTCTCAACAGGTTTCAGTTATTGAAACTAGCCTTACCCCCGAGGCATTTTCTGTTACCCCTCCCAGCTCTTCAGTGATCTCTCCTATCACTATCGTATCAGTGGCACCTTCACCAATCACTTCAGTGACCCAAATCACTGAAAGTGTAGATATCAGCGCCGCCACCGCTGAACACCCACGTCTTTTCTCAACCATTTTCTCTTCTCC